ACTACAAATTTCACACAATCGCCACCAAGAGTGGGAGATTAAAAGGGCAAAAGGGTTTTTGGGAAGGGAGACCAGAGAGTAAGAGCATGAGAGAACTGTGGGAGGTAGATGAGAATGTGAAAGGTGAGACCATGAGAGAGATTGAAAGGGAGAGAGACAAATGTGGGATTCAAAGATTGAGTAGAAAGAGGTGAGGTGATAAGGCTGTCTTGGACAAGATGAATATAATCAGTGGAACTGTGACATGGCATAGTTAGCATCAGATATATACATCTGTTCTGTCGGTTTCAACGAAATTGCTTGGCACACCCGTCACTCGATCAAAAAATGAACAGATTTGCAAAATAAGGCCTGCTTCCGACCGTTGGAATTTCGAAATTGTTCGCAGCAAGCTCGGTTCGGTTGGTGTGAGTCGGGTTTTTTGGATGAATCGGTTAGCTGTACAACCCTATATAAGTTCAACACATCTTAGAAGTCTCCTAACATTAACAATTTCACCCCAATCTGCTTGATAGAAAATAATTGTATCGTCAGCAAATTGTAGATGTGTCAAGCGAGTGGTTTCAAGCTGAACCCCCTTTACCAGCCCAGCTGTCTGGCCCTTTTAAACATAATATTCAAGATTTCAGCTCCAATTATAAAGAAGAAAAGAGGTAACGGATCTCCTTGCTTTAAACCTTTTTATGAACAAAAAGAATCTGTCAGAGATCCATTTACAACATGGGCAAAGAGACTGAGGATATGCACCATTTTATCCACGGAATCCATTTCAAATGGAAACTGAACCCTTCCATAGTAGCAAGCATGAAATTCCAATTAATACTATGGTATGTCTTCTCAAAATCCAATTTGAAAACTAGCCTCTTCAACTTTTTAGCCTTCCAATAGTTGATGATCTCATTGGCAATGAGAACCTCGTCTTGGATATTTCTTCTCCGTACAAAAGCTGTTTGAATCTCACCAATGATAAAGCACAAAACTAGCTTAATCCTTGCTGCCAAAACTTTTGACAAAACTTTATAGATATGACACCCCAAATATTTAATTAATACCATGTTATTATAAAATAAAAGAAAATAAAATACTGTGAATAATAATAATAATAATAACATAAATATATGAAATAATACATAGTTATACGTGCTAAGGATGTAAATTAAGTTAGCATTAGTTTATCAACAAGAGAACGAAGGGATTTACTTAGGGGCAAGATACGGTAATTAAATTGAGAAGATTTGCTGGAGAGGTGGATTGGGCCACTTGTGTCGTCTAGCAGCTTAGGGGGGGGATGAGTCATCAAATTGAGGCATCATGACAAGGTGAGTCATCACTAGGGGCATGCGTATATATAAGGGGGGAGGGCTGTGAACATCTGTAAGGGAAAAAAAAAGAAAAAAAAAAGAAGAGGAACAAGGGAACAATCCCGGGTATAGTTGGCAAAAAAATAAGACAAAATAGTAATGATTAATATTAAGGTGAGTTATATTATACCTTGCGTCACCATAATATATTTTATGTATATTTTGAATTACCAGAATTTATTTTATACAAGTTATGTTTTATAACTTATATCTATATTCCAATTACGTTAATTATTTTCTGAACTCCATTTGCTTATACTGAAACCCATGGATATGTTTATTTAAATTTTAAAAATTATTTGACAATAATTTTATAAACAATTATTTTCTGTAAGTACTACCATGGGAGTCCCATACCTTGGGGGACTTAAATAACCATTGGCCTCTATTTCGCCACTTTGTGGTTCTCTGTTTGTCATCGATCCATTGACCTCTATTCTGACTGTCACTCCTTGACCTCTGTTCTGTTCTGTTTTGTACTGTGATTGTGATTATTTATTTATATAATTTCTGTATTTCAGTTTCTGCCACTTTAAATCATTTGTTTATTCAAATTAAGTTATGTTACTGTTTTAACTTGACTAACTATCCATGGTTATTTTGCGTCCCCTATACTCTTGGCATAACAATTCTTACTCTACTGTGTGCTTATAGCTGTTACCATTTCAGGTGACGAGATATAAGGAAGACCTGTAACCTCATGTAGTGGAACCCGTACAAGAATTTGATGCTGATCCGTTATTTTGTTTTTCTTTCCTTTTCTCCCTTTTGTTTTTTTACTGAGGGCCAGTCATTGAATAAAATAATAAAAGCCCTACAGATGTATTTTCTTTTATCAAAATAGTAGAATGGAATTAATTTTCTGTTTAATTATTTTCTTACTTCCATTTTGCCTCCGCCTATGCCATTTAATTTATTAAGATTAGAATTAATTCGTAAGTTGCGATTCCAGCCCTAAGCCTCTGGGGTTGGGTTGTGATAATAGATACTTCCGACCAGACTTATAGGTCTGAAGTCCTTAATATTGCGTTTGGTTGGGGATTCAGAAAAGGAAAAAGAAAAAGTGTGAAATTAGGTGAAATATAGGTATATTTTACTCATATTTCACTTACTTTTTTCCTTTTCCTTTTCAAATCCCTTTCTAAATTCCCCAACCAAACATAGCATAAATGAAATTGGGTTTTCTCTTTTTGTAATTAGTGCAATAAATTATGTGTTTAGATCCTTAAGAATCCCATGATTATGAAATTCTGCAAAAAATTGAACAATATCTCCCTTCATAATTTTCCAACACTTCTTCAAACACAGCATATTGAACCCATCTAGGCCAGGCGCTTTATTACCATCACAATTCTTTATGGCTGACCATATTTCCTTTTGTGAGACATTCTTCACCAATAGCTTATTCACGTCCTCTCTAATTTCAGATCCGAAATTACCTCCCAAACATGGCCTCTCCTTCTATTTCTTCAAAAAAACAGATTTGAAATGATTGAACACTGCTAGCGTAACCCCATCAAGATCTTCAACACTAAACCTTTCACCGTTGCAGAGTTCAAGAAGTTACTTCTTTGTCTTCCTTTGGCAATGATGTGAAAATACCTTGCATTATGCCCAATCAACCCTTGATTTTTTATGCCAAAACTATTTGACCATTTTCAAAGCACTCCATAAGTCTGCTTTTAACTCTTTTCTTTTCAAGATATCTTGATCATTCAATGGGCTACCTCTGCTACTAAATCCAGAGAGTGAAGTTGATCTTCAATGCTTTTCATTCTATCATGAATATTGTCAAAATCAGTTTGATTCCACTCTTCAACTTGGTCTTCAATTCCTTTAGTTTCCTCAATACCCTATATCCTGTCCATCCACCTGTAGTATCCTCCTCTCAAGATTTCTTTACCACCTCTCTAAATTTGGGTTGTATGCGCCAAGCATTAATAAATCCGAATGGACAAGGCCCCTAATCACAATCATCTTCTTTAAGAAGCACTGGACAGTGGTCAGATAAGCTTCTATTCAACCCCCATTGTTTAATCTTGAAGAATTCCATCCACTCTGGATGGAGTAAGAACCTATCAATCCGACTCCAACGTTAACTTTCTTGAGAGTTTGACTAGGTATACTTTCTTCCCATCATAGGTAGATCCACCAATTCCATCAAGTCAACAAATTCATTAAAATCCCTCATTTAATGAATTCAATGAATTCAATAAATTCATTGTTTGGAAGACTCAACACACTTACAATTGCTTCTGACTAACAAGTTTATAATGACTGAAGTATAGTTGTTTGGAAGACTTAGAAGGCAACTCCACTAACAAGTTTTTAATAACTAAAGTTTAGTTGTTTTGTTTAATGATTAAATTTTTTTTTATCGATTTTATTTAATGGAAATAAATAAATGATTTAAATTAAAAAAAAAATTAGAGTTAAATTGATTAAGTTAAAAATTAAAATTTTGTTTTGCTATAAAAATCAAATCGTGAATTTTTTATTTATATTTATTTATTTTTTAATTTCCCATTGTCTTTTACAAATAAGTATGCCTTAAAATAGAAATTCCTGGTATTTAAAATCGGATTTTTGTAAGTGCTTGAATGTGATGTAAGATGTTAAATTTTGCAGGAAGAGGGGTTTTGGTTAGACATGTGCTACATTCGATACTGGTGTACTTAATGTCGGTATTCCGAATGCCAAATTCTTTTTTGAGCAAAATCTCTAAAATTATTAGAAATTTCCTATGGAATTCCAATGGTAAACGAGTATCTCTTGGAAAAAATGGATGCATTTATGCTTTCCAAAAGAATGGGGTGGATTGGGATTTAGGGATTTAACGTGTTTCAATCAATCTCTACTCGCAAAACAAGGGTGGAGGTTGATTTCTAACCCCAATGGGTTATTGTCACGGGTCTTCTTGAGTAAGTATTGTTAAGACAAACTTTCCTCAATGTTACTTTAAGTTCTACTGCTTCTTGGGGGTGGTGGAGCATCTTATGGGGTAGGGATTTGCTGAAGTCGGGTCTTCATTGGGTAGTGGGGAATGGGCAACAAATTCGGCCTTTCGAAGATCAATGGAACCCTTCTATGCTCAACCCCTTACGAGGAAGGGATATTACCAGAATTCTTCCGGATATGAGAGTCGAACGTTTTATTGATTGGACTCACGGCTGTTGAAGGGAGAATTTGATAAGATTGTTCTTCCCAGTAGACTGTACTCGAGCTATTATATTGGTTCATATACCCAATTATCCTTGTGAAGACAGACAAGTTTGGAGCCCAGTTAAAAATGGAGTTTATTCTATAAAATCTGGGTATAAACATGTCTTTATTCGTACTTATCCTATGTTTTATAGGACGTGCTCTACTCAAGGGGTATGGAAGAAGTTATGGAATATAGGCTTACCTCCAAAATGGACTATCTTCATTTGGAAATGTCTTCATAGAATTCTTCCTGTCCAATGAGAATTAAAAAAACGTGGTGTCCAAGTTAACACTAGATGTGCCAGATGTCATAATGAAGAGGAGACAATTGAACATGTATTTTTTTAATGTGAGTGGGCACAAACAGTATGGAGAGGATTGCCTTTGGGTCTGGATTTTAGAATTGGTGTACCAGTATCTTTTTTTCAATGATTTATGGGATGGATTGAACAAGTCCATGACACTCAAATTGTTATCCAATCGATTGCCATTCTATGGGCCATATGGCTACAAAGAAATCAAGTGGTCTTCCATCACAATTCCCCAAATATTGAGAACACATTAGAGGAAGCTAGGAAACTCGTTGATATGTTCTCATGTCTTCATATAGGCAATGGAGCTTGCTCTACTTCTGAAAATAATCAAGACACTAACACATCTAACCTTTGTATTTTGCAGAATGTTTTAGACATCGGTAGTGCAATAAATTCTTGGCATTTCATTATAGATGGCTCATGGAAATCACCAACTGACAACGCTAGAATTGTATGGATTTGCTTGGACAACCAGAAGCAGCTGATCAAAAGACAAGCTGTGGTGAAGACATCCTTATCACATGCCTTGCTAGCTGAAGCGCATGCATGCTTGGATGCAATCCGATGGGCTGTACAACAAGAAATGAAACATATAAATGTGTACACAGACTGTCAAGTACTAGTCCAAATGCTTCAACAGCAACGATATCAGGAGCACTGGCACATTTTTACTCTTGTTCAAGATATTCTAGCTTATGTAAAGTGTTTGAATTATGTATGTCTTCGTAAAGTTGACAGAAGTGTTATTCAACCAGCACATAATACGGCAAAAAATGTAACTACTACTACTACTTAAGGGTATAATATATGGATGGTTGTTTCATTCTAAAAAAAAAAAAAAAAAACAAAAGGTTTGATTGTCATAAATGACGTAACTCAATATTATGAGTCATGATTAAAAAAAAATGAGTTATAACCAAATTTTAAATGAGATGTAACCAAATAAATCTTTGATTATAACCAAAATAGTGTGATAACTAACATTATAATATGTCATAACTAAAAAAAGATACATATGTACACACTCACCATAAAATTTCCCTAACGTGCAATACTAAAGTTTTGACATTTGGACCAAGACCAATTGATATTCAGGAGTATGGAATGTTTCTAAAAAAAGTCTAAAACACAAAAAAGGCACAAAACTATCTGTTATCCGTTAAAAAAAAGGTAACGAAGTTAATTCCAAACCCACCTTAAATGATGTCATATGTAATAGCAAAATTCTGATATTTAAAATAGGAACAACATAAATCAAACAGTAAATTATAAATATATCTCTTGAAATTTGTTTAAAATATTTTACTCTCTATGATTTTAAAAATTACATCGCGTCACTTTAAATTTCTAATCACATAACAGATGAACTCTTTTATTAATAAAGCATCACATCAATTAACGATTTTTAATGATAATATATATGTATATATTTGCTTAGAAACCATGCTATAAATATATTTCAATTAGATAATTGTTGTTCCATTAGATATTGGGATTTTTAGATATTTGATGTTCCATTTGATATTACCAAGTAGGATCTCTCCAAAACAGTTTGAATCACCCTTATTTGAGTCACCCTGTTTCGTTTTAAATTTTCAAAGATAATTTTTTGAATTTTTAATTCGTATTTTATATTTTTAATATTTTTTTAAAATATTTTAATCATTTTTTTTAGATCTACTTAATTTAATATACTTAAAAAGTAAAATATTTGTTTAAAAATCTTTAAAAATTTTATTGAAGACAACAAAATACGAAAATTATTGAATTTTCATTATTTTTT